CTAGACTTTCTATTAAATTTATAAGCATTCTTTTAGCACCTTTGACTTCTTAAGTACCTAGTCCTTTACATTATCTTTATTAGAGGATAGTAAAGTTACTATATTTAATAACTTATTACCCTTAACACGTGAGCGTTCTCTACGTTAATTACTTAACTTAATTAATACGCCGTATTTTAAGGAGCTCTCTATGCCCTTTTAAACACGCTATCTATATTACACGCCTAGCAATCTTAGCTAAAATATCCTAAAGACAATACGTACGCTTAATATATAAAGAAATCTATAGCCTATATACTAAGAGAGCTATTATCGCGCGAGATCGCATAAGGCGTAATTGCAGCTCCGCGCTGGCCAGGGCGGCGGCAGGACTTAAGCGAGCTCTCTATAATACCCAAGCTACGGAGCACGCCCGAAAGCAGCGGCGTAGGCGTAGCAGACGCGTACTTAACCCGGACGGAGGCTTTATATACGCTAGAGACTGTTAGAAGATGGCTACTACGCGGGTGGTTAATAAAGCTACTAAATAAGAGGCTACTATTATAGCGCGTTTTTAATAATTACTTATAAAACGCATAAATCTCTAGAAATAGCTATGCTTTATAATTTATAATTATAGTAAGAAGTTAATAAAGCGTTACGCTAATAGCGCTATAATTATAAAAAATAACGTATCTCACGTGCGAGTCGGTCACCCGAGCGAGCTGGTTACTTTTGCCAAGACTCACGAACACCACAACTACTTTACAACACTACTATACAAACCTAAGTTATACTCTAAGCTATAGTATATTACATTACTCTAAAGTACCTTGCGTATTATTCTTACACGTTTATGCGTTGTGCCCTGCATCGCCACACGTGCCGTAGCGTCTTAAAGACTAAGTGTCTATTTTAACGCTAACCTTCTTACTTGTCCTCTTCTTATTACTATAGGCGTTAAACTTCTTTAAAGTAATTAAGTGTACTTTTTTACTAACCATACAAGTTTTCTTTCTCTAAATTTACTTTTATATAATTTACGGCGTATAGTAGCTTTATTAGTAGTTTAAAGCTTAGCGACTAAGTTACGTACTAATATTAATAAATACGCTATTATATCCACGCCTTTAGTAAGCTAATTAAGGGTATTAACTATTAATATTAATAAGCTATTACTATGTCCTTAGATCCTTTCTTAAATTAGCTTTAATTATAATCTAAATTCTAGGATGCTACTTAGGGTCTAAGAGTACTAGGTACTCTTATTTACAGTAGGTAGTAGTAAAATATATAGGTATACTTTAAGCTTTAATATTATAGCTTTTAAATTAAAGGAAAATAAGCTAGCGCCTTTAAAACCTTTTTATATATTACTTATTATAATTAATACGTTAAAGGCTACTTTAATGTATAATAAGAGCTTAAGTTTTAAAATATAAGTAATTTTATTACGTATTAGCAGCCTAGCTTACTAACCATAGGCCTTTTTTAAGGGGGTAAAATAATCTATATTAAGTAGTTATAATAGGTGCGACGAGTATAAAGGCATATATAAGGTAATAATTTTATATTCCTTATAGTATTAGTAGAAATTAACTAAGCTATAACTTTTATAGCTATTTAAAATAAATAACTAATAACTACTAATAGTACGCTCCTTTATGTGCATATTAAAGTACTTTAGCTACTTTAATTTAAGCTTGTTTTTTATCTAGCTATTCTTAACGACGTTAATAACTTAGTCGCTAAGAATACTTAGCTTTTTATACTAGATAGAGAGGTAGTGCTTGCCTTAAAAATAATACAGGGTAGGATAACCTATCCTATCGCGTTAATACTCTTAATAATACTAGTCTACTTTTAATTACTTTAATATACTATTTTTAGTCACCCGCGACGCTTAGAGCCTGTAATAATAATATCTATTATAAACCTAAACTTATTAAAGTTATATATGTCTTTATCTAGGATGCTATACTTGGCTTTAGTATTCTTTACTAAGCAGAACTAATCCTAGATTATCTTAAGATCCTTATAAAGGACTCTCTTATAGTCGTACTTTTAATTAAACTTAACTATAAGCTCTAGGCAACGCTTAATAAATATATTAGCCTAGTTTTTACTAATAAGTAGTTAGTTACGCTTTACGAGTAAAGAATTAGCCATATTTTCTATATTAGTAAGCTAAGATAAATATCCTTACTTATCTAGCTATAATATATATTAAATAAAACTAGCTCTTTAGTACTTATTAGTTTTATTAAATTAGACGTATAATCGCGTCGTAGAGAGGCCTTAGTAAGTAATTACTTATTGTACTTTAAGGCACTTTATAAATTTTTACAGTATACTACTAGGATAGTATCGCGTCGCGTTTTATAGCCTTAATAATAAGCTATATATTTACTTTATTTAAGAGCTTTTTTACGTTCTTACGTTAAGGCATTATGGGTTAAATAAAGTTTAGTATGGTCTTAGCAAAAGTGACTGGCTCACTTGGGTGACCGGCTTGCCCGTAAGGTACGTTATAAGTAGGTAAATTTATAATAGTCCTACGTTTAAGCATTTTAATACTAATTAGAAGTATAGTGTTAAAGGCTTAGGGCAGGCTAGAAAGTTCTAAAAGCTATATATAAACTTTATATAATGCTTAGAACGTTGTAGTAGATTTTAGGTAGTTTTAATTATTATAAATAATTCTCTTAACGCTACTATAGTCTCCCTTATAGCCTATAACTCTATAGATCCGTATAATTAATTACTACACTAAAACGGGCTCTTAATAGACTTAGACGTTAAACAAAAGTCTATAGTTAAAGTCCCTAATAGTTAGTTTATTATGTCTAAGACGTAAGTCGCTAGCAACGTTAGTAATAATAATAAAAACTACTTAAGTCCTTATAACTTAAAAATACTTTTAAAGGCTAATTAGAGAACCTTTTAATAATATAAATATTAAATTAGAAGCGCGCTGATGTATTTACTATATAATTTACTATATAAACTGCATTTTTGTGCATTGAGCTTGTTTGTGCATTGAGCCTGTAGGGCCGTGCGGAGTACGGCCTTTTTTGCAGAAAAACTGCGCAGCAGCCGCAAGGGGCCGAGTATGCCAGGCCGTGTATAGGTGGCGTGCATCACGCCCGTTGGCCGTTTCGCATTGCTTTTCCCCGTCATGCAGGCACCACCGTACTCGTACACGTCGCCGTACCCCTCTTCACCACCAACCTGTCACGCTAAGCACTCTCCACACTCCACCCGTCGCCGCACCGCCATCATCCCAGTTCCGTCCCCGTTCGTCCACGTCAGCACTGCTCGGACTGCCCCTCCTATCTCCTATCCACCCTCTTCGCTAGTGCATTTCGGAGAATTACGGCGTCGGTACAATGTTCAATATCGCAGGGCAGGGACACCCTTTGTCTCACGCACCGAGGAGCGCGTTCGCCATGTGCGGTGGAGCCCGCGCAGGCGGAAGAACTACGTTTATTTAATATTCCACGCGTGCCCGATCGGCAACGTGTACCGTGCGAATCGAGAAGTGGGATGGAAATATGAGAGTGTGGTGTGCTGGGATGGTCGTGGTATGCTTCACGGCGAAAGTGGGGAGTGCGGAACACGTCTGTCTCTTCGCAAATTTTCCTTTTGCTTCGCTGTGCTGGTCATAGCGTTTGACTGGGACACTGGGGAAATTGGGAAGTTGGTTTGAGCAACGCAACGGGGAGGCGTTGGTTGTCGTCACAGCGCCCAAAACGGTGGTGCACATTAGCGCCATGTAATACGTACATCCCAAGATATTTGCTGGAGCAACCAACGGCTTCGTGAGGTTCCCTTTTCGTTGCTGTCGACTTGACTCGGCGTTGCAAGTGCACCTAAGCGCGAGGTCGCGTTGTCCCTGCCTGTCTCAGCACACTCGCGCCTTCCGAGGGTTGTCTTTAAACTTTACTGAGCCTACAAGGCCGCACCTCATCTCCCATGTCCCCGCATCTTACGACTATCCTACTTTCCAAAGATTCCCTCTCCTTCCTCCAACACTGTGGTAAACAATATCATTGTCCCGGACGAAAGCCCGAGCCGAGCCCCGCCGAAGCGTCTGCGTCGTTGATGTCTACATGCGCACACTTAACCCTTCTGACAGCCATCTCTGCACGCAGCGTCGCCGCGATACGATGCGCGAGTCGCGACACTTTTGCTAGGCGTCGATCAGGCACGTTGCGGGGTGGACTGAGCTGGGCGGGTCACTTGCAGGGCGCTAGCCGGGAAGCCCGGGATAAGGTACGGCATGCCGAAGATAGAGTCATAGACACGGGATGAGAGTACCGGGATGTGTAGTCAGGTCGCAAATGCGAGGAAAACGATGACAGCGGTGCCAGTGGTGAAGTGGATTGTGTGTGGACTGTGGAATTGCGGGTGGACCGGAGACATTGCTGCAAATGTGCACATGTGGCCCTGGGCGGGTGGGTAGGGTGCATGTTACTTTGGTGCGTTCTGCATTTAAGATTGGCGAAGAGATCGAGGAGAGAGCCGGGCTCTTTGCTGTCGCAATGATGCAGGTCATTGTAGCTTTGCTGGTGCGATCCGGGATCTCAAACTTTGATGGCGGTCCGCGGCGTCGTCCCCTGGGGGAAGGCGATCGAAAGCACTTGGGCTATGCCTAACTCTTCATTACCATAACTTCAAGCATAATAGTCCAGTTCATTAAAAATGTAGCATTTTGGTCCAGACTTTTGCGATGACGTGTCCTTACTGCTGCTGAAAATTGAACTTGTAGTACGTTGTCCATACCTACTGTAGGTGGAAACATGAATTGCTATTCTATCGATCTTGTACATTCTACTCTTCGCTCTAGGTGGAAGCATACCGCTAATTCCTATTACAGTATAAAACAAAGTCATCCTATAATAACTTATATTATTCTAGCCTAAGCATCAAATTAATCTAAGCACCCTCCATACAGGCAACACTTCCACTTATTTGCCCCTGGCGTCATCGAAAGTACATGCAAAAAAATCCTCAGCTATTGGCGGCACTGGGAATCGAACCCAGGTTAGCACGGCCACAACGTGCTGTGATACCTCTACACTATACCACCGTGATTGAGATTTGATGATATTCTCTTGAACCTCGAAATATACAGACGCAGTTATGATCTAGAAAATAGTATATGAATTAAACTAACATGGCTTGCGATGTATTTTTTTTCGTTTTCCGGGTAGCAAATACAATGTAAACGTTGAATGAGTCACAATGGAAGGAGTCGTCAAAGACAATCGTAATACTCAACCCGCACAATCCAGATTCAACTCGCCTCCGTGGAGTGAATCCACTGCTCAGGTGAAATAATTGTCTAAATATTGAGCCTATGATACAAAATTACGTCCAGGCGTAGACGCTATTCATGAGTGACCGTTCTTAAGATCGTGACCGTTACCCAATAGGAATACATAAACTCGTATAAGCGACATCTAAGAGAAACAGTACGGTTAAGCTTGACCGCCTGCTGTAATTCCCGCCTCTGTTTCGTCCTTTAGAAGTATCTAGCGGTTGAAAATTCACGTACACGGCTAACATGCCTACTAAGTAAGCGACAGGCACATCTCTAGGCTCAAAACACGTGCTCAGGCAGCGGTGTGGTAGTCATAATACAATTTAACAAGAACTTTAGTAATAAGGAACGGAAACGTAGTTCGTAATAAAATACAAGTATAAAAGCTACGCTCTTTACTGCTCTCTACCTTTTTATCCACACCCTGCACATCTTTGCTCTTAGTCACATTCTCACTGCTCCGTCAACGATGCCTAGGGCAGGCACAAAGGGATCATGCAAAAAAGCACAAGGAAACTAATCAATTAGATTAACAATGTTGAATCACCTACGCTGAGACTACCGCGTAGTGCCCCCGTGGCTGAGACATTTCCATTCACTAACCTCATCACCTCCACCCCGCCAACGCGCAAGACCATTCCAGCAGGGTAGATAGACAAAACCATTGCATGTCGGCAAAAGGCGAAAAGTTCTGATTGGAAAAAGCTGAATGCGAATGCCTGCAGGCCAATACTACCATGTCGAGGTTGCGTGCGAGCACAGCATGGCAAACCCACTCACCCGGAGATTTACCCAGCCATCGATGGGCTTTAGGGATGCCTTGTTTAGGCAGTTTAAATGCTGCTTGGATACGCGCAGGAAAGTTTTTTTTCCGGAGATTTCATGCTTGGGTTGTTAGCGTTAGACCAGGTACGCGAGCGGGGGCCGAAGAGTAGGTAGATGACCTGCTCTATTCCAAGGTTGCTTCACGCAATACAGATATTGCCCTCTCGATAAGCAAAGGATAAAATAAAGGTCGCATTTATGATCGGATATGTAAGTCTAATACCGCGGCCCAGTGCCTGGCAGGCTTCTACTGAACGCTTGAAAGAACTCCCAACTACCCGTCATTTGACGAATGTTTTATTGGACTTCGACACACTGTGTATGATGATCTTGTTTATGCATGTGTAGCGCTGAAGCACTCAATACCTTCCGCAAGTCAGTCCTCTCAGATTGGACCAAGGGTCGAGGCTTTCCTGAGACGTGTTCGAACTCGCCTTTCCAAGGAATCTCCATCCAAAGCGGGAAAGACACAACCCTGCATTCGAAGCGGTGTGATAGAGTAGAGAGACTGATCCATCTTGCCTCGACGTCTACCCCGCCAGTCTGCTCAGCATCATCACATCATAGATGCAAGCCCTACACTATCTGCCTCCTAACCCATTACCCGCCTCCTACTTCAGGCTATATCACCTCCCGTAACGCCCGATGTGTAGTGGAATTTAGGTGTGCACCGAGCTCAGATGCCAGTCGCACAGCATTTCCCTGCAAAAAACGTCCGATGTTGCTGATTGCTATGCAGTCTGTGTTGCGCGTCTAGTAGCGGGTAAAGACCGAGTGGCCAGATTGTCCTGGGGAGCGCGTGGGTAAAACCAGCGGGACGGTGAGAGTGTTCAAGTTCGTGATTGGGTGATCGTGCGAGAAAGACCGAGTGGGGGCTTTTGTGCCAGTTGTTTGGTCGGTGATGGCTGGACTTTTGTCTATTTACCCGCCTTGGGCTGGGTAGGCCCCTGCTAGGCACGTACTAGTACGCGTACTTGCACCTGCGATGTAGGGATAAAATTGGCGAGTACAAGTTTATGTACAGAGAGATAGGCAGGTGTGGAGTGATTCGTTCGCCCATCGCGAAATGGGTGATGCCTCTTGCTGGCGTGCATAGGTTTGATGTGGGCCAACACGGGCGTTCTCAACAAGTGGGAACCCTCGAGACAGAGCTCATGATAGGACACATGCCGAACAGCCTAACAGGTTGTAAGATCGCCTTTCTGATCGTGGGGTGTTAGCGTGCATGTTGGAGTAAGACAGACCGTAGTGAAAAAGTAAACGCACGCTATAAATCCATGTCTCGGATGTTGGAGATCGCCGGGCTAAAGAACTGGGAAGCGGCCATGACCAGTTTGCTTGATTGCTAGGTACGACGTAATGTCAATGGCCGTTGTGAGTTTCTTTCGTGGGCGGGTAGGGCAGCTCCTATGCATGTTAAGAGGCCACTCTGGCAAAACACATCTCTGCAAGTTCTACGCGTATCACATAGCGTGATATAGATGAACCAAAATCCAAGGCCGGGGTCCTTCGGCTTAGAAGAGAGTCACCTGCTATTCGGCATTCGCTTCAGTTGTAGGCGGTGAAGACTTAAGGAGAGATAGCACTGAAGTGGAAGGCGGGGAAAGCGCATCTGCAGGCCAAGCAGGGCAACGAGCCTGTTAAGAAAACGGCCAGTGACGTTAAGAAAGTGGTGGAAGAAGAGGCGTTGTTGTGCTCGAATGTTGGAATCCTGTTGCCGATTAGCGACCCTAGGCGGTCGTTCCTGCCATCGCAAAGCGAGGCAACTGCAACGGCAGCCCACATGCGAAGTTTCCCCCGATTGCGTTTCATGATTCTGAAGACAGCGCTCGCCAAAGGTGTCAGGCGGATTAGCCGCGATTTCTGCTGGTCCTTGGCTCTGTTGGTGGCAGCAATCTTGACTGCACGCGAGAACTGTTCCTCCCAGCCTCTTTTCGCCAAGCGTGATAAAAAGTTCGATGTGACGGGCAGCACCTGCGTGATGGAATATCGTCACGCCGCGAGGCGTGCCGTGGGATTGTCCGCACGCGTTGCCGAAGGTAAGACAGAAGTATTGACAAGGCAGAACGACCAGTAGAAGACTTTGATCTCCGTTTCGTTCCGCCCACATAGAAAAACTCTGAACGTCGTCTGGACATGCAAGTGTCATGGAGGATCGTGCCAGCCTGAAGTTAAAAATGATGATAGTAGTCAGACGTTGGAAAGAATAGGCGTGGGCCTGGTGGTTTGCTATCCTGCAACCGGTGCAGTGCCCGGCAGGACTGTATTGGTACACTAGCTGGTGGTCTGCAAGCCATGACAGGTTTTGCCGGAGTATGCCCATTCTGTCGCGTTGATGGTTCCGAGTTCGACGTCTTCTTCTCACGGTTCACGAGTACGGTTAGCAAGGCAGCAGATGAATCCGAATTGAGTTTGGGATTGACCATGCTGAAACAGCACGTCGCGTGGGCCACGACTCGATCTGCTAGCCCCGACGCGTCTAATTGACGTCGGTTAGTCGGCTTTGGGTGCTGGCATAACGTTGCAACGCCCATTCGTCATACAACGGTGGGGGTTCCCCTATGTTTGATTTTCTCAGGTGTAAGCTGAGGAACAGAGGGCAAACGATTCACGAACATGTACCCCTGACGTTAGCCATTAGAGTACCTTTGCACCACTGCAGCTGAAGGGTGGGGCCGCGAGTGCTGCATGGAGCTAGCGGACGACGAGGTTTGGACCTTTGGACGGGTGTTGGCGCCACACTCGCCTCTGATCAGCGCCGACGCTTGTCTGCGAATAGAAACGAGGCGGACGACGTTAGGTTTAGACGTGGGTAGAGGCTGCGGCATGGCGTGACGAGGTTGGAGGGCTCATTTCCCACCATGAACAAACAAAGAAGACGCGTAGAACCAGCGAGGAGAGCCGGACGTGGGTCTAGGGGCGTGGCACGGCAGCAGCAGAGGTGAATACCGAGGCTGCACTGGCGCCATGGCAGGTACCGCGCGCAGAGAGGCGGGCTTTGGGCGAGTGCGCGGCGTCGAGACCCTGAATGCATGCTCGAGATTCGCTAAGAGGGGCACGCACGGGTCTCCTAAAGGTTGTCTTTTGGGGTTGAAAGACCCGGGACAGGGGCTAGGTATAGTAGTAGAGGCTCTCCCGCGCCCAGCCGCCTGCTTTCACCACAGACGCTGCGCTGCTGCCGCTGCTACTGCCACTGCCGGATGCTTTTCTCTTCGTCCTTTACCTGCGCCGATTGTGCCACGGCATCGTGACTTTGCTTCTGCGACAGGCGCGCTGTTTACCGCGTGGACAGCCTAAATCCAGGCACTTCCTCGCCGCTCCGCATCGACTAATGAAGCGCACCCCCAAACAATTCGCCCAGCACCACCATAACGCTGCCACAACGCACAGCGCGGTGCGAATTCCCGGCACTGTGCACGACCGCATACATCAGTAACGGCAGTGCCGCGTGTCGGCAGTAATGGCCTCGCCTCCAGGCTCGCCGCCGGGCGCACTCCAGCGGCCCATGAGCGCCATGATTCGCCCAAATCGCTCCAGCAGCAGGATGAGCATGAGCAGCAGGCAGGGCGGCTCGCGGGCATCGGATGACGATTCCAAGACGGCTGTCAAAGTTGGTATGTGATGTACCTGTTTCCCCCGCAGAAGCCGACGCTCTAACGCCAGTCTAATGCAGCTATTCGCGTGCGCCCGCCGCTGAAGACGGGGGACCCGGGCTACGAGCTCGTCCCGCAGCGTTTCCAGGCCTCGCGTGTCGAGGTCACCTCGGAGCAGCAGATCGCCGTCGATGCCCCCAACGGCCGTAAACTGTTCGTGTTCGACCGCGTCTTCGGCGAAGACACCGACCAGGAGGGCGTGTTCGACTACGTGCAGGAGAGCGTCACGTCATTCGTCGAGGGCTACAATGTGTCTATCCTTGCCTACGGCCAGTCTGGCGCAGGCAA